ATGGAAATGGTATTTTTGTAAAGGTAATTTATCCACTAAAAACAATTAAAGAGAAATTTTGCTATGAAATCAATTATTTGCCGCCAGGAAGCCACTAAAGTCAACAAATTTTATACTAAGAATTTTAATCAGAGCATAGCCATGCGTAAGCTCATCACGGAAATAAATGTTGAAAATACATTCTTTGAAATAAAATTAATAAAATAGTTCGACTTTTTCCATATATGTATGTATGTGTGTATACAGCAGAGAACTACAAGAATAAAAATTAAGTTTTTTCATCGCGTTTACAATTAACTGCTGAATCAAACTTAATCATGATTAACTGTAATCAGATTAAATTAAACCGAACTAACTAATTGATTAAAAAATCAATCGATTAGTGTACATAAATACATCCCGTTCCGTTTCTGCGTTAATTTTTTTGCGAAAACTAATACATTCATTACAACAAAAGTTTAACCATCATAGTATTTTAAAGTAAAACAAAAACTTTAAGTGGGTGTTAATTGAATTTAAAATATTAAGTAAAGAATTCGTTTACTGTATCCTAGTGGAAGAAAATAACAATTTTCTCTTACGATCTCTAGGCTTACTCTACGCAGATACAAGGTTACCGCCGAAATGGGCCGACATATTTCATTCTCAATTTTAAAAATTGTCTAAATTCTTTTTTAGCACATCTGGCCATCAGTTTATATATAGTTTTGCCAGATAAAAATTGGAACATTGAACCTGAAACCAGAAGCATATATGGGGATAGGTACATACTTATATATATATATACATACATGGTCGTCCATACTTATTTATGTGTGTTTGTATATACAATGCCGTTCAACTAAATAGGCTCAAAAAAGTTGATTGACATATCATTAACTAACTAATAGTACTTCCCGATTATAAGAGCTGTCCAAAATGCACGACTTATGACGCATATTACAACCGAAGAAATTATACAGTATCGGTCATATCTATAGCACGCCATTTCAAAGTGATATTGTGTGCCACTTATGTTTATTTATTTATTTTTAAGAATTTTTAATTAAAATTTTGTTCATTCTCGGACAAACCCCATATATACCCAAGTTCAACAACTTTTAGAAAACTACAAAAAAGTGTAACAAATTTTCACCTAAATTTCAAACTTTTTTCTCGGTAGTGATAGAATTTTTGTGAGGACACAGTTTTTTAGCCCCTGCAATTTTAGTCTGATAATGTGCAAATTTCAAGTGGCTTAGAATTACCGTTAATTTTTTAGAATTTTTTTTTGTCGCATTTACTTCCATATAATGAATAAACTCAATTTATTTGTATATGGATGAAAACCGCAACAACCTTGGCGAAAAAAATTCTAAAAAATCAGCGGTAACTTTTAGCCACTTGAAACTTGCACATTATCAGACTAAAATTGATTGATTGATATGACCGATACTGTATATGTACCTGAAAGAAAACTTGCATATTGGAAAGTATTCCCATATTTTATCTAGATATATATTGTCGAAAGCAGCTCATTTGGCGGTTAGGGCTCGATATGTTTAAGAATTTAACTGTAATTTTTCCGCACTTTGTGATGCATAGATTTGTTACGGTTTTTGTGAACGCAGTTAAAAATATTTTACTTTGACTCTGACATGCATTCTAATCAATTATAATTATCAAATAAGCCAACTACATAATGAATTAGTGTTTTGTTTGTTAAGCATAGTACAGTGTTTCATTTCACGTGAAGAAGTTGTCAAAATAAGTAAAAAAAATTGCTTTTCGTGAAATATGTGTGAAATTTCTCAACATTTTCACGACGAAGTTGTATTCCGTTCTCGAATAATCTTGAAACATATTGGCAAAATGTTTTCCCTATGTAAGTATGTACATATGTATGTGAATATACTTTGAGCTATGTGAAATTTGGCAAGTAATAAATTTTATACATTTAAATATTTGTTGAATATTGCGAAATTAAAAAAAAAAAAAACGTTGGTAAAGGTAAGTTTATGTTAACACGAATGAACTTCTCTTGGCCTCCCGACATTTTTGACAATTAAGTTCACGTAAAATTTTTACGTTGAAAGAACTGACGAATTTACCGAGGTAATTTCACGCCAGTGAAAAAAGTACTAACCATTAAATAAATTAGTTCGAAGTTAGTTGACCCGCTAGAAAGGGACATATTATTAATAAAATGGTATACATATATGCATTGCAGTAAAATTTATGTGGCTAAAATTATGAACCAGTTCAGCTGAGGGAGAGTGTACGTATGAAGTATGTACATGTGGATGTGTATGTCCCTATTTATTTTTTGTATACAGTTATTGCTGAAGTAGACAAAATATGATGTAAAAAAGCCTTACACTGGCCAACAAAATTTTGCAGCATGGCGTTTGAGAGCTGATGCTATAGGATTTTTTCCGTAGCCTAAGATCTAGCTTTCAAATTATTCAATTGGCTCTAGTTTTCAAGATATTTGGGATTAAAGCTGTCGAAAAACGCATTTTTATTAAAATTTTGTAGTAAAATAACGATGTAATGTCGAAACTTTTGAACAGCATAAAAAAATCGTATATGTACAGTATGGGTCATATCAATAGCACCGCCATTTTAAAGTGATATTGCTTCCCACTTATGTATATTTTTTTTTTGTTTTTGAGAAGTTTTAATAAAAATACAGTTCCTTTCAGAAGTGTTAGAATTTTAATGCAATAATGTATAAGTTTCAAGCGGCTAAAAATTACCGTTGATTTTTTAGATTTTTTTTTGTCGCATAGTTTATTTTTATATGGAAGAGTTCGGCAAGCATTCTTCAAAAGTAATAAGTAAACATAAGTGTGAAGCAATATAACTTTGCAATGGGGGGCTAATGTTTTATATCGCCCTTTTTTCCCAAGGGGCAAAAATAAAAATTATAGTGGTATTCACAAAAGTGAGCAAGTGGCTTGGCAGTCTGACAAACGAGCAGATTACCTCAAGCAATCATCATCTGCTCTTTTGCCAGAGTGCCAGGCCATTTGCTCGATTTGGTGAATGCCACTTATGTGTTTCACAAACATTGGGCACAAAAATATTTTTTTATAAAAAATGTTGAGAATGCGACCATAAATATCCTCCTATTTTTCATCATCGTTAGTTCCGGGATTTGGATATTCATTACTTTTTAACAACTTAAATAGAAAAAAATAGCCTTTTTAAAGTTTGAGAAGCCCTCCTACCATAAAATAAATAATAAATAAATAGATATGAAACCTACGTGTTTATTTAAAGTGGCGTTTTTATTTTTTCTCTCTGATGTCAGGATTTATTTTAAAGCACTTTGTAATTTCAAAAATATGATTAATTCCAAAATTTTAAAAATTCAATGTAAAATAAAAGTATGGGTACCAAATGGAAGAGGAAATTTCTTTAGAATTAAAAAAAAAATAAAATTTTTTAGATTCACAAGGACGAATAGGGAATATTTTAAGCTGATAAAATTAGAGGGACGAAATTCGAGGATATTATCGAGTTTATATAAGTCCCTAACATATAATTTTTTCAAGAACACATATTGCGAAATTTCAAGGATAAAATTTTAAAAGGACATTTTCAATACTTACCAGTCCTCCTGCACCAAAAACATGAATCTGTTTAAATTCTACGGGATTTCCTCTTTAATTTGATGCTTATACTTCTTCTGCAAGCACATTTCTCTGAACTTTTTAAATAATTTTTGAATTACTGATGTCAGTGTGAAAAACTAAAAACGCAATTTTACTATATTTAACCTATGGTTTTGCGAATATATTGATATTCGTGTTTAAAATTTACTATCCGACATTTATAAAAAAATATTAATTACTAAATAAAAAAAGAGATATAGCTAATACTGGTCAGGAAAAGGAGTTTCTATTATTGTCATCAGTGAAAATTACAAATCCCGAAAATCCCGTGATTATTTGCCAAGAATCCCGGGATTTTTGGGACCTTAACATTCTTAGTGTATACATATAATCGAAAATCACAAATTTTCGAAATATTTAGAAGTTAAACTGAGCTTCTAAAAGAGAACTGATACGAAAATTAAATAAATTTGATCAAAAAATGCAATTCCTCGTCTATATCTTTTTACAGAAATTAAAAAATGCTAAATATCGGCAAAAATCGGTTTTTACACTCACATCTCAAAAACAAGAGCCAATTGAATAATTTGAATGTCAGATTCTGATTCATCCGAAAAATTAATATAAGGACCTGTAGTCCGCTTGTTGTGCCGTATGCAGTTGTTAGAATTTTGTTGGGCTGTGTTATCAATAAATCATTGCCGCACTTAAACGCCGGCCCCCAAATACTTTCCAAATAAGTTTGTGTGTATGTATGCTTACTATGTGCACAAACTATACACATACAAATGTGCTTATAGAAAAGGCTGATTAAATATAAGCCCGCAGAGTTCTTGAAGCAGTGCGTATTCAGCCAAAGGGGTAAGATTTGAAAAAAAAAAAACCAAGAGAAAAAAAAACAAAGGCTTCCTAAAATTTAGACAAAAAAAAAAGCAAACAACTTTAGAAAAAAAGCAAAACAAAAATTGTATCTGAACTTTACTAAAATATCATATTAAACTTGGTTAACTTGAGAGAGAGTAAACTAATACAATACATATAAGAGAAAATTTCTGGTGAATGGGCCACTGACAGATGACAATTGGTGCTTGAATGGCATGGACGGACACTTCCATGTGAGCTTTTTTGAAGGGGTGTAAAAAAATTAGTCTTTTTAGATTGTCGAAAACAGATAATAGTTTTGCATTCGATGCAGGAGAATTTTATGCGTACATATGTATGTATGTATGTATTTTTTTTTTATTCTCAATGTCCATAAAACCCCCCTTTGGCCGCCCTTGTTCATGTAGCGAAATATAATTTATTTTTAAGCAATCATAAATAAACACCACATATGTATTTATGTATGTATGTATGCCCACATAAAAAATAAGATACATACGTATGTACGTAGATATTTAAATATGTACGCATGTGCTTATGTACATACATATGTATGTATACACATATGACGCCTTTGTATCTACCCAGTAATAAAAACTTTCCGAATTTTGCAAAAAATACAAACAATTTCAAACGCAAATCACATTTTTTTTTTTGTACTCTTCTCGTTTGACGATAGTCCCGTCCCTCCAATAGGTGGAATTTATGCAGACGGTATAAAAATCTTTTGTTAGTCGTATCTGTGCAGATGTTCAAATAACATTCTAGCTAAATTAGTGATTCATCTAAATATAAATTTCCTAAGATAGTACTTATTTAGCTTTTAATTGCTTAGTTCTGGATTGTGTAATTTTCTTTCAATTCCACCCACTTTTGTTGTCTGATGGGTACTTTAGCGCCAGCATACTGCAGTGCACTTAAGTAAAAGTGTGCATATGCGCATATGCAGGTAGATATGTGCATACATACATACATACATACATGCATATGAAAATATAAAAATTTCCAATACTGCAAATTGTTAATTCGCGATCGATGAATGAGCGCGATCAGTGACGTCTATATTTAGCGAAATAGCGGTTTGTTTACTGATATTTTTTTTTTACATACATAATGTTCTTAACTTGATAGATTACAACAACGCAGACGCAGGCACGTGTATAATAAGCATATACGAGTGATCGGTAACAAAATTGATGGGAGCAGTGGCAATAGAATCAGCAGCAGCAGCAGCAGTGAGGGTAGTAGTGGCGGCGACAAACAATATGATTATAGTATTAAACAAAAATGTGAGACTCCGCCGCCGTCCTAGTGATCGAAATAACTACGACTGCATGCCAGTTTGTCTTAGCAATGGGTGGCAGCATGTACTGTCGCACCTGTGCAGCAATTCCTGGTCACACAGCCGACAACAAAATGATCGACATTTTCGCAAACGCTAAAATAGTTACACTTTTAAATACTCTAAAGGAATGGCAATTGGATATTACGCCGGGCGATCGCTTGCCCCATAGTATTTGTGAGAAGTGTGAATTGGCGCTAATGCAAATGGATAAATTTAGAGTACAAGCATTCAAAGCTAAAACGTACCTGCAATCGCAATTGCTTTCGTTGGAGACGACGACGACGACTGGGTATGCGGACGCAATCAGCGACAATGAAAATGACCTTGAAGCTGAAACAAATTGCGGTGGTGGAGTGAAGACGTTCAACGGGGAAGCCATACTGGGCACATTCTCAACAGTATTAACCGAGATCAAAGCTGTGCATGTGGATCAAGAGTTATCGAACAATACTACTACAAGCACAAACGAGAAAGAGAACGAAGAACAATTGAATAGCTTAGAATCGGGTTTAATTGCAGTCAACGGGCAAACCGGTGAGTTATCGTTTGATTCGAATATTGAGTCTAGCAGACCACCCGATTTTCAGGTTGTACTAATTGAAGAGGAGGAGCACATAGAATTACAGTGGATTAATGAAGACGAAAATGCTGTCGAGAAGGGAGTTCAAATAACAAATAATGAAAGTTCCGAATGCAGCGAACACATGGGAGAGTTCGAAGCACAATTTGACATCAATAATAACTCAGCAGACACTACGATATCTGAGCATATGATTTGTAATAGCATAAAGCGACTCCGACGAGGTAAAAGTGAGCTATCAGAAAAAGGAGGAGAAGTCTTTTTAGTTAATAATATTCCAACTGAATCGCAAGAACCCATAAGACGATCAATTAAGAACAAACATTTTGAAAAAAATGAAGGTAAAGAAAAGTCTTGTACAATTTCACAAAATCATAAAGGTGAAGAAAATCGTACTACAGAAATCCAAAAGCACAATGTACTCTCCGATGTTTATACATTGTCAACATCTGGCGATTTGGAAAAGACTAATCAACTCTCATTGGGCTTCACACAATCCCAAAACCAAATGTCAGCCCCTACGTTCGATGCAATGGATTTCACGGCAGAACATCAAGCGCAAATAAACGAATTTGAAGCATTGTTAGCTGCAATAAATAAACAAGTGGCTTCGTTTGAATCTAGCAAAGAGCCAAATATGTATTCGATCGATGAATTACAATCAGTGCTAATGAGTGACCTTACACTACAGATGATCGACGCAAATGTAAACATCTTGGAAGAAGATTTACAAATAGATGAATTTGAGTCATTGTTGGCATCAGTTGATGAGCAAGCTTCCACATTGGGATCGATAAGATCGTTCAAGCGAAAGACAGAACCGGCTGAAGCACCTGCATCCAAAGATCCAAAAACTGAACCTTCAAAGGAATTGGCAAACACTGTAAAAATATTACCTCATCATTCTGAAATGGAAAAAAATGGAACAACAATACATACGCCTATGTGCGACAAAAAAAATATCGAGCCAAAAACTTCGGACACGTGCGCAACGGAGCTGCTATCTAATGTTACACTTTATGCCCACGATCAGATATTGCCAAGTGTTGTAAAACGCATAGATTGTGTTGATAATGCATCAAACGAATCTTATAGAAATGCAGATTTCGAAGATTTGTTAGCCGGATGTGATGACAACGGAAATACGCCTCCGCTGATCGATAAGGCCCAACAAAAAATTTTCACTGCGCACGCACGTTCAGATAAGAAACTTTCAAATAAATTTCGTTGTCGCCTGTGCGTGTACAAAGTATCGGAACAGCCAGCTTTCGATACTGCAGAGCTCCTCGAGGAACACATAACATCAATACATGATGACAAAGAGCGCCCATATAACTGTCCTCAGTGTGCGGCGCGATATCGAACACGTAGCGGCTGTGTAGCACACATAAATGCCATACATCTCAAAAAAGGCGACAGCTGCGAGTTGTGCGGCAAAGTTGTTGCCGGCGGTTCGGGTCAAATGCGCATGCACATGGAGCGCAATCACACACATGGAAACTACACTTGTGAAATTTGTAACCTGGAGCTGAAAAATGTTTCACTTTATAATTTTAAATATCACAAGCGGTGGCACAATGAAGAGAAATTATGGCGCTGCGAACTTTGTGAGAAAGCATTTGTAACGCGCACTCATCTGATGGCACACAAAGTAAAACACACGCGCCAGGGCGAATTTCTATGTACACGATGTGGAAAGAGTAAGCAAAAACTGCAACTCTCTTATTATTTTTGTTATTGATTTTTGTAACTACATATTTTTAATAGTTGCACCTTTTCGATTACAAGTTAACCTTAAGCTGTAAAATCTAAAAGCTAATACTTAACATAATAGATATACATACATATATGAGCAAATCTCTCGAGTTGATACATTTTTCGACAAATGAAAATACGCAAAGATGTTTTGTATGAAATATGAGCACAAAAAGCGTATTACTCAGGTGTACGTGGCGTATGAGTAACTTTCTTTCCTGCTCAATTTTTATACAAAAAAATCTTTGCTTATTTTATATTTGACCACTTATTACTTCTTTATTTATCCCTCGCATCGCTTCAATAGTAACTTGGTTTTTTTTTGTAACAGAACAGGCTTTAAAGTTATATTTTTTTCATTTCTTCATTAAAAAACAAAAACTGGAATGATTAATTAATTTGTCAGAAACTATCACTCCTATCGGAAAGTGATGTATATATGGTTTATGGAGAATTTTATTAGCTTTGATTTGATGTAGCTTATTTTAAGATTGTTAAATTGGTTCGTAAGATATACATACGTGTTTAAGTGGAACCCCTTCTTGGGTTTTAAACTGAATAACGGCAAATTGATTTTCGGAATCACCGAGCAATTCTACATAAAAATTTGATAGTGGCATCCATTGAATATTTTTGCTGTAAACTAGTGATACTATACCAGCAAGGAAAGACACGTATATATGTACATATGTCGCCGCTGAATACGAAAGACGATTTCGATTCCATTTCATATCCGGAAACCGTCCGAAAATCACATTATTTGAAATCAATATTATTTTTATTAAATATTTACTTTGCTACATATGTACATATGAATGTATGTGGCCGCTGCGGCTGAGCGGTTAGAAGTGCGTACTACCACTCCGTAGGACCTGGGTTCGATCCCTAGAGAGTTTTCTATTAGCGGTCATCCCCCGGCAAGCAATGGCAAACTCCGAGTGCCATGAAAAAGCTTCTCATAAAAAACCATTTGCCGTTCGGAGGCGGCATAAAACTCGTAAGTCCCTCCATTTGTGTAACATCAAGACGCCCACCACAAATTGGAGAAGCTCGGCCAACCACTTAACAAAAGGGTATGTAGGTATGTATGTATGTATACATACTTATATATTTTGGCTATAGCTGAATATGCAGAGATGCGAGCTACTAAGTTGTAGCTTTCATAGGATCCCAAGTTCGACTGGCGTTATAGATATAAAGTTCTTATTATTACATTACATACATACATAAATACCTATTTCTGTATTTACACGCAAATGTTGATTTTGCTCTAATGCGACTACCTGTTTGATATGTCTTGATTTTAATTTCAAAAAAAATCTAAACAAACGATTCAAAGTTCGTACAATTTAATTATTTTTTTTCAATTTGACTTTATATTTTTGTTCTTATGAGAGAAATGTCAAATTCAATCACTTTTTGTTAAATACATTTCGATTGTGACCAAGGTGTGATTGACAACTCAGGTAGGCTCTCCTTTAAGGTACTATTAAGCCAAAAAATAGGTGCAATCCCGTATTCCTCGGACTAAAACTAGTAAAACTGTCAGATAATAAAAATTCGCTCAGAGCGAGAGAGTAACATTGAAAAGTACGGGATCGCTTTCTAGTAAAAAATTGTAACTTCTGTCAACTTCAACATAACCTCCAAATTTTGGTTGTAAATATTTGCTTATTTTATATGTAAACCAGGGCTGCAAACCACTCCAAAAAGCGGGGCGGTTCGGTTCAGTGGTTCGAACCAATTAGAAAAAGCTTGTACCGGTTCAAGAACCGGTTAATGAGTATTTCTGTTCGGTTCGGTTCAAATGTTTAAATTTTTTTTATACCAAAGGATACAAATATTGAAAAATATGATAAATCTACGTTTATTCAGATCCAATTCAAATATCCATATGTATAGTGGTGGAAAAACAAATAATTGCGCGACATTTTTAAAATTTTGACGATTTTTCATATTTAACGTTTATTGTTCTAAGTATAGTGCATCTTCTAATAACATCCGAATAGATCCAAGTTTAAAAATTTGTGCAAAATTCTTCAAAGTTTCATCTAACTTGCAAACTTTTTAATAAGAATTTCTAGAAAAAGTTCTTAAGTTTTAAGTTGATTTTTGGCAATTTTTTCACGGATTTTCTCCCATACAGATTTTCTTCCGACAACATTTTTGCATGAAAAAATTAGTAATACACTCAACAAAAAAATTATTTAAAATCAATGTGATTAATGCGAATTAGAAAAATTTTGATAAACTTATTTAAGGTTTGGACAAGTCGCGAGTCTAGTCGAATAGACAAAAACAACACGCTCAGAATTTTGAATTCAACTCAAAATCTTGGCTTAATGTTGGAATCCTCCTTTTCGGTAGGTTGGAGCTTACACTAGGCCTTAACCTCATATGTACATGTATATCTCTGGTCAAAATAATATGAGTGCGATATTTGACTATTTTTCTTTCCTTTCTTTAATAACCATATATAACAACCATATCCAAACTTCAAACTTCGTCCGAAAATTAGAAAAAATTTGAATTACATTTCTTAAAATCCGCACCGATTTTTGATTTTTTTTTT